ATTCCTGCTACCCTTTTGTTTAAGCCTCAAGGCCAAGCTCCACAAAGGTATACAAAGACCTAACCTCCTTCTGTAATCTCTGGGAAATCAGGCACCTAAATAAAACTTGGGAGTGCTTTGTTGTGGATCTTGGCTAAAGCCTCTCTGGCCAGTGATCCCCAAAAAAGTCCGACTTTGAACGAAGCCCGAGATATCAAGCAAAGCTATCACTGGAAGACACTTAAATTCTAATGAAAACATATTTTTTTTATATTAATCTTGGTTCTCATTACTTTGCAAAATGGGGAAAATTTCAAGTCAGTAAATAAGTACAGCTGGAAAACAACCTTGAGAGGAAACAAATGCCAAAACCCCCAGGAGGTCAGGACTGCAACAGGGAATGCAACGGCACAGCCATGCCACATGTCTTGAGGGCATCTGCCTTGAAAACAAAGTTCATGGAGGCCCCATAACATAACTAACGGTCTCCCCATTTCACAGAGGCAGAGAGAGAGGCCAGGAACACCTGCAGCTTGGAGGACTTCTGTGATAGAAACAGGGGACCTGCCTTGCCTTTGACAGTTTAGCTCCACTCTATTAACGTTCCCTCTGTAAAAATATCCACAAGTCAAAGGCATAATGAAAAAGAAAAAAAAAGAAGATGACTTCCCCCAGCATTGACCAGTACAATAAAACAGAACAAAATAATGTCTCTTCTGTCCTAGGAAAAGAAACAGAACATCAGGACACTACAGTACAGTGAACTTCTATGCACTGTTGCTGGCTTGGGCTGTCCAAAATAATTTATTCCTCTTAATAAGACTCAAGTCCTCCCTGAATGAAGAACAGGACAAGGGAAGGTCTGAAAAAAATGGCAGCTCTTAAGCCTTCATGTGCACTACTGAGAACAGGGGCCAAAAGAATTCATATTTCAGAAAAGATTCACATTTGGGTTGCCACACAAGCTTGAGGTCATTCCTTAGTGCTCTTAAAATCTCCATGTAAAGAAAAATAACCACAGTGCAAAAAAGGAAACTGGATTGCCCAGTTGATTCCAGTTTATTCTGAATTGGAATGCATAGATGCTGCTGGAAGACATTATCTCTCAAAAGTGAGAGGCTGTGAAAGCATGCAGGTGCCAACAACTATGGAAGGGGAAGGTAGGGCACTGTTGTGCAGCTGAAAGTCTGAATTTAAAAAGTAATCCAATACACTGAAAATAACTCACAACCTTCAGTCATTTGCATGACAAAAATACACTAAATAAAAACTGTACTTTGCAATAACACCTGATGACAGAGAAAATTTCTCCATTTTGTCTTCTTAACATATATTATGGACATGGAAAACTGCTTAGACAGTTGCTGTTGTGAGATGGAAAAAACTAGGAGTTCTGATTTTTCAATTTGTAATAAAAGCCTTCCAGTCATTTTCAAGTACATTAAGATGCTTCTGGAGTAAAAAACATCTCCAGGCAACATGATGTTACAAATCCATTTCTGTAACATCTTTCACAGTGATTTATTAGTCTACTAAAAAAACAGTTTTCAGAGGTATTCTTTCCCCTGCTTGAGATAAAAACCCAAACACATTAGGAGCATCTAGACCAGCTTCGGGAGGCAAAGAAACAGGTAGGCAAGCTGCACCTATGTAAAGCTACAGAAAAACATTGTTTTGTAAAGGAAAACTTGAAATTTCTCTCATACATGCTCCTAGGAACATGCAAGAAATTGGAGTCCACACAGCAGTGTAGATACCAGAAGTCAAAGATTTTAAGAAGAAACACAAACTTGATAAGTTAGTAGCAAAACAGATGTCTGTCAGTGGAGTATTTGTGACGGGACTGTGGTTCCCACGACCTTAGACTCTGTTGGGAAGGAACACCATCTTACGGTGGCCAAGGCTTCATGAAGCATCAAAGTGAAGAACTGGAACTCTCTTGTTTATTACAGCTGAAGAAACTTGGCAAGCCAAGCTGGCTGCATTGGCAGTTCCAGGATCAACTTCCAGTCCGTGGAGAATTTTATAGTGGATGATAATAATGACAGCAAAAGAAAATAAAACATGATCAAGATGTCCAGAAAGAGCCTGCTGGCCACTGTCAAAGCCAGAGATGAAGAGGCCAAAAGAGGAAAGGAAAATCTCACATGAAAGCTGGAAAGAGGAAGAAAAAAGAGTCACTTATAATGTAAAAGCATAGCAAACAAGCAAAGGTTATGCTTATGCTGATCTCCTGGGGTGAACACCTGGTTCCCAACTTTGTGTGAAACAAACTATTACTATGTGAAACACGTGCTCTCCTATCCTACATCTGAGTGTGAAACAAAATCATGCTGACAGCCCTGTATCTTAAAACTTCCTCCAAAGGATCTGTAGAAGTGCCTTCCTTGTGCCTGTCTGTAAAAATTCTTCCTGGAGCAATATGGAGTACAGAAATTAAAAAAAAAACAAAACAAAAACAAAAAAAAAAAAACAAAAAAAAACAAAAAAAAAAAAACCACAAAAAAAAAACCCAACACACCAAGGGCTTAACCAAGGGCAGGGTAAACCTACTGCTTAAAACCCCCTGACCTGGAACACCAAAACCTTTAATGACAGAAGCAAGCTCCAGCTACTGGGAGCTGCTGCCATGAGATGGGTAGCTGGCACGCTAGAAGTACCTGTCCCCTAAACAAGCCATCTCATAATCAGATGTTGTCAGCAGAGGCTAACCTGGAGCACTAAGAACGGGGTAATCAAAAAGGCACTGGAGCTAGAGGCATTTCCCATGTCTGCAGTCTGTGCGGAGAAGGCACCGGTCATGCAATGTTCTACATAAGAACCTCGTGGGTCTGGGCCAACATGCTGAAAATTCACTTTTGGAAATACCAGGAGCTTCATAAAACCCCATTAAATTCCGATTGTTAGTTTGAATTCCCTCTGGTGCCTTGTGTTTCCAGGGCTTGTGCACTGAGGCAAAGCCAGCCTAGAAACAGTTGCAGGCAGCACGGAATGGACCTCCTCTACAGGAATTTGGAAGGTGGGGTCAAAGAAATCAAGACAGAACATCTGCTTAGGGTCCTGGGGACTGAAGAATCCTGTGTGCCTATTAAATTAATCACTATTTAAGGTCAGCAATAATACTAAAACAAAAAGTCCAAACTAAAACTTTTGAAATGACAGAAGAAATGAGTGCTGATGTCAGTATGTGGAAGCAACCTAAGTCCATAGAAAACAGTGGTTGACAAACAGCCGTGCACCTTGAAATCCATCTGGTTGCAAGCCAGCTAGCTCCAATGCTTCAGAGGTCTGAGTCTGCTACAGCTCTTGCTCCAGTATTTGCTCAGCACCAGTAGAACTGGTGTGTTGGCACAGCTCTGCACAGCTGGCAGTGCGCTGGGATGTTGCTGCTGGTGACACTGAAGTATAAGTAGGCTCCAGCACATCTCTGCACTGAGCTTCCAAGCCCACTGTGGCTGTGACCAAAAGCTCTCCACAGTGGCTGCTGATTAACTGCTGATCACATTAAATGTTGATACCAGTTTACAAACTACCACCACCAAGTAGCATACTCATGTGCAGCGGACACACCAAGTATAACCAAGGATCTTTGGGCACCACCTCCCAGCTCAAGTGACCCAGCTCTTCCTATTAGTACTGCTATTTCTGACTTGTAATTCTCATTGCTGGTAAACAAGCAGGATCAATGGGACCTTGCGCTTACAAACCAGGCTCCTTTTAAAAGTGTCATAAGCCTGAGGGAAGCCCTGTGAGTGAGTTGTTCAAATACAACCTGAAGCTTCTGTCACTGGGAAGACTTTGTAGCTCTTATTAAATGAGAAGGCAAAGTTTAACTCTCCTTATCTAACTTTCAAAAATCAGAAAGACTTGAAATGTGCAAGTCTGTCATGAGCACCCACATTCAACTGTTGAAAATGGCAAGGAGAAGACAATTAAAGTGCAGCAAATCATCTGCCTGACATAATTCATTACCCCACTGTTTCTTCTGCAGGAAACATAATGATACTGAGCTATTTTATTCCAGGCTCTGAGGACAAAGCCGAGCTTGGGCTAAGGGCCTGAATCTGAATATATTGCATGTTCAGATACTGCTAGACTGGAGGGATCCCCCAAACTGCACATAAAATCAACTAGTGTCAACATTTTAATAGGAATACCTTTGAGTAAAAAAGATGAGCACATCACCCTTCCCAAAGTGCTGACTGCCAAGAAGAGTTAATACATTTTCGGATTTGACTCAATGTATTTCTTTGCTGATCAAAACCAGTTACAAGAAAGAGCTCACCAAATGTTGGAAGCTCTGTACACTCATCTGAGAAAGGCTGATAAACTTCTATAGGTTTATGGTTTTTACTTCCCCCCAGGACATTTTTCTGGGATGATATTCTGCTTTTGACTATCTGCCTACCCAAACATGCATATGCAGCAGAGGCCAGTACACAGGCAACTCCACAGGAACTTTACAGGGAGGAAACCAACGGTCAGTGTTTTATTCCACATTGGAAAACATCTTCTTCTTATATCAGTATGAGAGTGCCTGCAGGGGACTTAACAGACATGCAGATCCAGAGAGGGACTGCTTCTCACCAGCTACTGAGATGCCAACCCTAACATCTGTTCACAGTTCATTCTGGCTTATCAAAGGCTTTTTCTGTAACCATTATCACATCGTGTGGAAAGGATGGCTAACAGAACATGCTCTGTTAGCTGAAGAAATGGATTGCTGATCCAGTTATCTTAGGTAAAGGACTCTACAAACCGAGCTGACAGTACTCACCTTAACACAGGAGTAAATGACTGAAACAAACACCACTGTGGTCAGGATCAGGAAACAGGTCAGGTAAAAACCCAGCATAAATGTAGAGCTGAAATCAAGAAGATTTTTTTTTTTTTAAATGCACACCATTACAGAACAGCTACAGCTCTGCTCTCCAGAACATGACATTTGTACAAGTGCTGCACGAGCTTTCCAATTAGGACAGCAGTAGGAGATACAAGGTGCCTTGAACACCAACAGATACTCTGTCCTCTTTAAAATTTCTCATGCAGGTTGCAGAGCAGACAATACTCCATCTCTTATAGCAATCACCTTGCTGCTGAGGTGACAGCAGAGGGACTGAGAAATACTGCATGCACTGGAGGAGCTGATAGAACCATTTGTTACAGCACTTTGGCCCCCAGCAGGCTGAGGGCAGGAGACCCCCCCAGGAAGGAAAGAAGGAAAGCGTCCCGAGCGCCGCAGTGCAATGGGAATAGCTATTTGTCCTTGCCCTGCAGAGGGAACGTCTGTGCTGCACCATCCTCCACGCTCTGTCTCGTGCACGGAATGGGAGCAATCATGGCATGAGGCTAGTCAGGGAAGCAGCCTGAGCTTGGCCAGCTTGAGAGGTTCCTGTTCTTTCCAACTTTGAAGTACAAACAAGACCCCAGGGCCAACTTTGCACTAAGCATTTTCATCTGTTTTGATCATGAAGATATTCCACAATTTCCCAGTGATTGGTCTCAGTGTGACAGGATAGGCCCCCTCCCTGGAGTTAGCCTTGTTCATAATCTAAAGGAAGTATTGTGATGTGACATCGAGACCAACCACACCAAAGCCTGCTGGTCTCTGTGTTCTCTCATGACTACTAAGATAATTGTACTTGCTAATTCATTGTTTGAGCCTTTGTGAAATTCGTTAAAGCTATTTCTCTTCACCATCATCAATTAACACTGCCATTTTGTCTCTAGTGTCTTTCATGAAGCTCTGATGGTGACACTTATACATCTGTGGTTTCAGCTGCTGCTGAACTGTTACCTTCAATAAAAGACCAAAACTATGCAATCAAAATATAAGGAAAACCAAATAAAAAGGTGAAGGAAACTATATCTCCCCTGCAGTTAAAACATGTAATTTTATTTACTCTTCAACCAAATCATCTTTTAGAAAGGCCAGGCTGCCTAAGGATACTTCAGAAGTTAACAAAAAAGCAACCACCACCCTTATGGGCTGCATGGAAAGAGGCTGAGCAGCATGACATTTACACCACGCTGCCATAAGGGATTGTTTCCTGCGTAATACAAAGGAGTCAGCCATATGGTTGTCACAGATCAGAAGCTGTCAAGTTGTCATTTAAATGTTAAACTGGGTTTTATGAAGACAGCTTAGTGACTGCTTAGGGAGTTTGATGAGCAACATAAAGGCTTGTAGAGGGCCTCTGCAGGTATGAAGTCACAGCAGTAACATGCACAGATCCACAGTGTAAGCACTTGCTAAATCAATTAGTTTCAAAGAACATTTTTGGACATAATTAACAATGCATTAATTTCTGGGATAGATCTATTTTCAATTCTGAGTCCCTTGCAGCTTCCCTTTCAGTTTCCCAAAGTGGATCTGTCTGTTTACACACTGCATTTGTACTATGTTATTTTGCTGATTCAATCTTTCTGTGAGCAGAAGTGAATGTTCCCTTGCCTGGGAGAGTGAATGACCTCAAACACCACACTATGCATTGTTTATATGATCTGAACACTACAAACCAGTCCTTACCCTGAACTGGTCTGTGTTCTGAGCAGAAGTAGAAAGCAGTTGTAATGGCATAAAATAGTATTTGGGCTCTCTTTAAACAATTTTTTGTCTTGTAATGAAGATGAATTTCATTTCCAGAGCTTCTGTGATCTTGTTCTTCAGATTAAAAATTACTAAGTCTGAGTTTATTTCCAACACAGCAGTGCTCAGTGAATGATATATGAATGATATATGATTGCTACTAAACCAGAGCACAGAAAATACCAATATGCTTTAATTTAAAGGGATTTTTAAATGAAAACTTTGAGAAGAAATGCCATGTCTGCCAGAGCGTGCTGTGGAAAAGATCTAATGGGTTACACTGTACCTTTCAGACAAAGCATTTCACTGCAGTGGCCCAACAGCACTGTGCCCCACAGCCCTGAGGAGCTTGTGCTGCTCTTGCCTGGGGAAAGGAATGACTGCAACGTCTAAACCTGGAGTCAGCTACTCAAAGCTTAGGCATGTGTAGCTGAACACCCTCTCTACCCCTCTTCTTGCACTGCTGCTGAGTCCAGAAGAATAAATGCATGAGCAGTTATGTCTTATCTGTGAAGCAGACCCTGAGACCTCAGTGCTCCGAGCAATGAAGCTGCGATGGGTTTTTCAGCTCCCTGTCCCACTGGGTCCAGATAAGAGGAGAGCCTAGCCTCATGTTGTGAATGCCTACTATGCCTTAGTAGGCAAGTCTTCCTACTTACTGATATTTATTTTCCACAGGCTTATAAACATGCTGAACTGAATTTCCTAAGATGGAGGTAAATGGTAAGAGGGCTCACACTGGGAAAACAAATCCCAGTGAGGAGGTTTTAATCTGCACTAGGAATGAGTGAGAACAATAAGCACCATGCATCACTTGAACATGAATTATTTAAGAATTTCTCTCTTCCCCTTGGTGTTCTGAATTCTCAAGAAAAAAAAAAAAAAGAAAAGAAAAGTAGGCCAGAACAGAGGAGGGGAGCAGATGGGAGCAAAGGGATGAAAAGGTACTCACTGTGGCACGATTACAATCTGAACAAAGCAGATGAAGAGGAAGACTAGGGAGGCACAAGCCACGTAGGCTCCGAACCTGTCATCCACCTGCTTGGAGTACTGCAAAAAATGCAAACAGGGTTATGTTAGCAGGAAATTTGGCTGGCTGCCTTCTCTCCACAAAGGCTTCTTACTTGGCTTCCATTTCGGTCCTTGGAAAACAACACTGGTAGGAAATGACTAAAACTACAAACTCCCCTTCTCCCAGAGCAAGCTGTAAGGGCATGAACAGACCCAAAGGCCAGGGAACAAACTCATACAGCTGGGTGGATTTGCTATCTGCTCCTTGCACGAGAGGAAGAGTTGTGGATTCACTGGGACCAGGATTCTCAGTCACTGTTGTCAGTTCTCAACTTCTTCCATGGGAAGTCTCCTCCAACAAGTACTAATGTTGCTAATGAGAAAACCCTGTATTTTGTGCAGACAGCTTGGCTCATTTAAATGATGGTGTGAGGATGCTACAGTTTTCACACAGGCACTCCTTCCAACTGCTTGTCAACAGATCGGTCACAGGGGAGCTGCATCAGATTCCCAGAGATACTTTATTTAGGCTGAAGCACAGTTCTCAGTACGCATGGTCTCAATGTGTGAGCCACAAAATAAAAGGTGCTCAGAACAGGTGAACCGCTAATTCCCTAGCAGTTTTCTGCTATAAAATTGAAGGGAAGGAGTCAGGGGAAATTACGTGCTTGAGCTTTTATCCAGTCCCACGCTGACTCATTGAAAAGCTGTAAATCCTGCAAAGGTCTGCTTTTGCAATAGGTTGTAATCCCTTTCATTGAAAGAGTGCTTCTAAATAAAATTCTTGAAAAAAATATTGCAAACTTATTACTGAAGCTTTTTCCATTGAACAATATAGTTTAAACTGAAGTCCACTCAAGTATCCTCAGAATCTGTGCTTGGATTAAAAAAAAAAAAAAAGAAAAAAAAGATGACTTTGACTTTCTTTGGTAATTAGAAACAGCAGGCTATATAGAACCCTTAATAATAGCATCCAGGTACCTCTGGACTCAACTGAATTAAACTTTGCAGCCACCTAAAGCAAATATTGTTTCTATTTTATAGACAAAGACATTGAAATGATCTTTGCCTCACAACAATATCTGAAACAAATCAGGAAGTGATCAGCTGTTTGGGAGCCTTGGGTCTATAATTCCTGTTTCTCACATTTGTGAGACAGAGAACTCTACTCATTGCTTAAAATGGGCTCCCAAAAATGACCAGAGCATGAATTGCATCCCAATGAACCCTAGAGGTACTTGGGGGGAAAATGGGCAGGGAAAAGGCTCTCATGATTCAGAGCTCAGACAGGCTGAAGCAGGTTTCTCTAGTGATTTGAAGGAGGTAAGGGTTGACTTGAATCTCAGTTTGGAGAGAAAAAGTCCCAAAGTCAGAGAGAAAAATCTGTCTTATTCCAGATTCCCTTTACAGCTCATCATTGCATATTCACAGGAGTCTGACAGACATGGCTTAGTTTTCCTGTCCAGTGCTCCCTTCAGATGACTTTCTAGGGACATATATATATAAAGGTTTCTGTGAAGATGCATGAAATTTTTAAGTCAACCTCACCTCCAACACCTAAAAAATCGCTTTAGCTATAGATAGAAAAGCTTGACCATATGCAGGACAATTAAAACTCATAACAAGCCTGAGTGACGCACTGCAATTATTGTAGACATTACCTTTTTCTCCAAGTCAGGCTCCCTGAATGTTAAGAGGAACTTGCGCACGTGCTCAGAGCGTAACCGGTCAATACTTCTGGCGTCGATGGCACGGCCCAGAAACTCATCCACTTCATCTTCTGGGTTCATACTTTCCTGTGTATTCCTGAGGATGTCACAAAAAGGGAGCATAACATGACAAGATAATTTCCTCCTCCTCACCTTGCTACCATTTGACTGTATAGTAAGCTGGGGGTTAATAGCATTTCACTTATGACAGCTTCAAGTTGGAAAATTGATTATGAACTGGAAGGAAAATTATATTGGCTCTAGAGCTCACTGCCAGTCCTGAGTCCATCAGTGAAAAGAATCAATTTACTTGCCCTTTTTCTATACTACATCCATTTATTTTCTTGCCTTGCAGTCTCTTTAGTGTCCTTCATTCTCTAAAATCAGTCAGTAGTCTCCTTCCACTAGTCCTTTGATTCAGTCCTCCCTGCAGTGCTGTGCTGTTGTAGCTGTTAGTGCCTGAACTGGCCAAACACTTTACATAGTCATATACCAGTCATATTTCTTGCTTCCCAATAATAATATCTTTAAATATTTCTGTGAAAATTTCTGAAGTTGAGCAATTCTCAATTTCTGAGAAAAAACTGTTCACAGAATGAATGTGGGGAAAATAGTGTGGCCTGATGCCCCACTGCCTCCCCTTCATGCAGTTTTTTATGAGTATAAAACATAAACCAAACAAAATTTGCCATTTACAAGGTATTTACTCAAGGAAAGGTTGCAAAAGAAAAAAGCAGCAGAAGAAAAAAAAAATAGAAATTAGATTCTGCTTTCTAAATATGTGGAACAAGATTTCTAAATTTCTTATAATCTTTAGCATCAGTGTATTTCTGATGTTCAGCTACAGCTTCAGAAAAACAAGGCTGATTTTCAAAAACTGTTGAAAAAAATAACACTGAAAACTCAATTGCCCTGAGGCATTTTGCACTGAGGATCAGGAAACTTGAAGCACCTCCCCACACTCTAGTAATTTTTAATATCTAACAAGATTTTAATGACTTGATGCTGTCACTTTAATGGTCTGCCTTAAAACTAGCTATAGGCAGAAATTAAAAGCTCATCCTGAAGTGCTGTTTTTCTGCTCTGCTTGCACAATTGTCGAGGTTATCCATGGGATATGCTAATAGTTATCCACTGGAATACACCCTGTGGATAACTATTTCTATGGGCAAACCCCATGACAGTACAGCAATTTTCAGCTCATGTCATGTGACCTTCACCTTAATCACTCTGGAGAAAAAAATCCCGAGGTCTGACAAGCACAATGAAAAGCTACACTGCTTTATTTTCTCAGTTTTATTTGTACTGCATAACAGTGCCCAATGCACAAACACTGTGTTGCAGTCAGTGGGCCCTTACAGGTAAAGCGGAGACTGCTCAAAGCAGCTTACAAACTAGAATGTGACATTTCCAAAAGAAAGCCTCTCCAAAAACATTCTGCAAAACTAGACCAGATTTCAAGAAGCCTTCTGTACCTCATACCCCAGAAAAATAAACCATCTCCTTCTACTCATTTCCATTCCAACTTCCTTCATCCCAGTCTGCAAGTTGAACATGTCTACACCTCAGCTAGGTCATGACAACACGCTATCAGCATCTATTTTGTGATCATATGGCAATTGAAAACCTAGTTTGTCTTGAGGTCTTAGCTTTATTTTAGCCAATCTTAATATTTCAGAGGGGTTGGGGAAAGCAACTTTTATTTTGGGGCTCTAGAATTATTTAATTCCTTGAACTTCATATAGTCCACTTTGAAATTAAAGTGGGTTTGTCCCAAGAAGGACATGACATTCAATTTACTTCTAGATGCTTCCTCAGAAGAAGCATATCTGCTTGAGCACTGAAGACGATTGCTGCTTAGTTTCATTCAGTCTTCACAATGTCTTCTGGGCTCATAAAAATAAGCAAGGAAATGGTTAGGCTTTGTATTTACAGAATGTCTTCCAAGATCCTGTGAGTTATTTACACGTTTAGGTCATTCACATTCAGTCATTTCATACCACGTACAAGAGATGCAATACATTTTCCCCTAGAACTGAAGCAAAAGAAGCAGATCAGCATCTTGGCAAACCTCAGATAAATTTCTTGTTCCAGTCTAAAACTGTCACTTGAAGAAAACAAAGAGAAGAAAGAAACTGCTTGCTCAGGCTTTGGACTTGGCTGCCTCCAGTTTTGTAATGGGTCCTTATACTGCTGAGGGTATCTCTAATACTACAATAATTTCTGTGGTCGCAGATTGTGTAGAAATTCCCTCACAGGTTTTAAATTGCCTTGCTGGGATATTCACAGTGAGGCAGCCACCTTCATGTAGACTGCAGGGAAGCTCAGTCACCTTGCATATACCTAGCTGCTTGGGTGACTTTTACAGCTGGTTGTACCCAAACTTAACTACTGCACAGGAAGTTTGTGTATATTTGCATAAATGTAATTTTAAATTGAAATACAAAATTTTCCTGTGCTAAGGAGTGCCCTGGAGGAAGTGCCTATAAGTCAGAGCCAAGTACTGCCACAAAATAATGAGATTCATGTGTGGAATTCATACTACTTATTGATATATCGATAGTGTGTGTGGGGAGGTAAAACTCAAGGATTTCAGGTCACCACAAAACTTTCATAAACACCTCCTGAAAGTACTGCTGAGATTTCTCCAAATGCAGCCAATATAAAATTGTTGCAAGGGACAGGAACAGCACCAACAGAGCTTGGAGCAACTTTTGCACTCTGCTTGCACGCGTAAAACCTAGCAATTAACCCAGAGATGCTGGCTACAGAGTAATCCAAAAATGTTCTGCTGACATAATTACTTTCTGCAAATGAAGAGTGTAACGACTGCCAAAAATACATGTATGCCATAATTTTAAATGCTTCATGCCTAGATGCAATAACTAAACCTGCACATAGGCACGTAAGTGTCTGTTCCTATTTTCAGAGATGCATAGTGTAAGAGAAAAGTACTGATGTTCATGAAGGCACTGGGCTGACTGCTTGACATGGTTCAGGTGTCTAATATCACCATGAACTTTTTCTGCTAGAGATTACTTTTTGGCTAAATCTTTGTTCCTGACTTAAATGTATTTCGGAATCAGGAGAATCTGAGGCAATTAGTAGCTTCTTTTGGTGCTGAACAGAAATGCAAAAATCCTGCAGTTTGTATAATAAGCTGGTGTCACACTGAATCAGCACTGTAAATACTCTTAGCTATTGTCCACAATGGCTCAAGTAACCTTTTCAAACTGTGGCATGGAGGAGAGACATTATGGTCCTTGGAGTAACACTGGAGCTGCAGTTCCTCGGCAGCTCGGTCACTCAGTTGTGGACCAACACTGAGGCAGCTGAATTTATGTTTTCTTGTGCAAACCATGAGGAGGGATGCAACAAGAAACCCCTGTGAGGTCCCCTACACACCTTGTAGCACCAGTGAAACATCCCAGGTTGCACAGTACTAAATGCTATCAAAATCAATTTTGCAGTGAATGGCAGTGGAAGGTGAGAATCATTCTTAATATTGCCATGTTCAAACTTATCACTCCCTTTACTTTTAGAGAGCTGTTCTCAATGCTCAACCAGCAAAATGTGAATTTTCCCAAAGGCAGATGCTTAGGACCCACAAAAGCGTTTGGCTGTCCCAGCTCACAGAGGTCCGCTTAAGTCCTGATGGCCAGCCTCAGAAACATAAGGGGCAACAGCAACATATTTTAGGCATCAGTGTCCTCTGCTGTTACCCATCTTGCTGTGAGCGAGCTTACAATTAAAGCTATTCAGTAGAACTAAATGTGAAATTATTCCAAACACATTCAATACAAGAAATATTTTTCTTATGTCCAGGTTTAGAAGTTAAAAAGTGAACACAGTTGGGTTTTTTCCTCTCCAACAGCAATTTTTCAAAATATCACTCTTGTTAAATTATTTTAACCAATTTAAAAAAAAAAGTTCCATATGAAAAAAATTAAAATGCTGCTTGAATGTGGCTGTATTTTAGAGCATGAAAGTTTGAATTTACTTTTTCAAATAAGCTGTCACTTCTGAGTTCAGTTTTATATCTAGAAATAAGTAAGGTATTATAAGTAATATGAAATACATACAAATAAACTCAGAAACTATATATATATATCAATACACAAATTTTTCTTATCAGAGATGTTCAACACTTAGACATACTTTACAGAAAGATTTTGTTCTTGGGATATTTTCAGAGAAATAATTAGGAAAGAATATTTGGGGCAAAGGGAAAAGCAGCAAAAGCATTTTAATTATGAAAGCAAGTTAGAACCACACAAACAAATAAATGTTTTAAGGGCAGCAGCAGTTCTGAATGCACACCAGTCAGTCCTGTGCCCTTGACTGACTGTCCCTCCAGAAGAAACCCCTGGGGAGTGAAGGCATTACTCTTGGCTGCTGGGCATTAATTTTTGTCTTTTTTTAATACGAGAAAAAAAAAAAATCCCAAATGTGCAAACATAACAGTGTATGACAGAATTAAATTTGCTTACTTGTCCTTGGGGTCCTCAAAACCCTGAAAGAAAGGAAAAGCACACAAGGGTTAGGAAACAGGCTGACCTTGAGAACACAAAGTATCCTGAGAACAGCAGTTTGCAAAGGAGTTTTCAGGGTGCTCATTTATTAGGTGTGGATGAATATCCTTACCCACCCACAGCAATATTTTTTGCTGCCATGTCATCAGGCAGATAGAGCAGCTTTAGAAAAACACATGCATTCAGACATAAATTTATGCATGTGAAAATAAGGGAAATGCCTCAGCTGGCTGCTGGCACACTTTACCTCAGGTGTCTTCTTTTTTGCAGCCACCATTACAAATGATACAATGCAAATTATGCTATTATAACTGAGGATGTATTTTACTTGAAACAAAACTCAGAACAATAACACAGGTTAACTACTGTATTCAACAAAGTTGCAGCTCTTCATGTCAGGGCTTGGTTAAGGGAGCATGCTACATTTCAGTTTTCATCTTTTCAGGAGGAAGCTCAAGGGGCCGCCTTCCTTCTCTCCTCACTGCATGCACACACAAAACATGTTTTCTTGAATAAGATTTAAGCAGTTATTAATAATAGTTCTAATAGCCAAGATGTTCACAGTTCCTCCAGGGCCACCTGAACTCAGTAAGTGTACGTATTTACAGGTTATCCACAGTTTAAGTGGCTAGAAGGCCTCAGAGAAAAATATGTACAGAGTCATAAGTTTATGTGTTTATCATTAAGTTACCTAATAGATCAAATAGCATCAAAATGGGCATTTTGCATGGACTGAGACAAAATTTGCCCTCTGACACCTTGGCTTAAATTTAAATGAAGCCAAGTAGTGTCAAATATTCAGACACAGAGTTTGTACCCTGTGTTCCAAAACATAAACCAAATGTAGCTGAGAGATAGAAAGAATTCCGTTTGTTTTCCTCCCAGAGACTTCAGTCTAAAACTGCTCAGAGCACATGAGGATATTCCAGCTGCTGGATCTGCAGCCACTACCAGGCTGAGGGGCAGCAAACTGAGATCTGTCCTGGCTGTAAAGTAAAACTCTTTGGGCAAAAGTTTTCCTGCAGCTGCCCTCTCCAGCACCACCAGAAATAAGAATGTTGACCAGATGCTAAATGAGAACAAATTTTACCCTTGCTACTAGTTAGCAGTGTGGTAACATGGTGTGAGGCAGAAGTGAAGCCAACACTGTCTTCCTGAACAGCATCTGCTTTGCAAGAGGGAAGAAGTGGGTTTTGTCACAGGTCAGGTCAACAGCCAGGACTGTGATTCACCAAGAAAGCAATTTCCATCTTTACATACTCCATTTCAGACTAAAACTATGCTTCCACACAGAAACTGCACCTCCAACTTAACCCATTAGAAATTCAGATGAAGGAGGTCTCTCAGTCCCATGTCACAACTACCAACAGATCCAGTGGGAAGAAGGAAATGGTCATGTTGATTCAAAGTTAGCACCAGTTATTCAAGCCAAAAAGAACATGTACTTTTTCATTTGACATTAAAGAATGATGAAGTCATCATTCAACTTTTTGTTGTGCAGCTTTTTTGCCCCCACTTTGTTTAATAATTTTACAGTTGTTAGTAATATCTGATTGATTTATTTATTTATTCTCTAAGCAATGCTACAACACAGAGCCAAAACTGAAAGCTCACTGATTAATCATGGAGACAAAATGCTTGCTAATTTGTCTGGTATCATAGTCAGGCTGAAAACAAAATAAATGATCTGAATACGAATAGCTACCAGCCAAGAAATAAGGGGAGGGGACCGATGAGAAAACAGCCAGTACTTGTTTACTAGATAGACATCAAGTTCACATTTTCAAGCTTAACCACATGGGAACTGGATGACTGACTGCAGTGGGAGAGTCCCCTAAAATGGTCTGATTTTCACAGACAGTCATTCATCACACAGAAACCCTGAAACTGAACACACATCTCATATACCTGCCTTCTAGGTGCACAAGTGTCAGGATACTTATGGCCAACCAAGTCAAGTTACCAAAACATGTCAGCAAGAATATCCTTAAATAATTCCTCTTCAAGCATGGAAAAATACGTAGGCTGTATATTTAACTGGTCATTTATATGGGTGATCACTTGGTCAACACGGAATTTGATTCTCCTATTTCTCTCCCCCAGTAAAACTGTTCTAAGGAAGTCTCTAAAATAATACAGAACTAGTTGATCTAGTTTTTCAATTTAAAACACTACATTGCACTTGAAACCCTGGAAATTGTTCGTGTTGGTAGCTCAAATTAAATTGGTGTTTCAAACTAAAAACTCAAAAAAGGCATATTTCAGGTAAAGTAAAAAAGGTAAAAAATATATTATTTCCTGGATCATCATTTAGCAAAGATAAATATTTAGAGAATGACTTGAACTTTAACTAGAGAGAATCAGCTTAGAATTAAATGTACTAGGAACCTCTTTAAGTTAAGCAAATTAAATTATTCACTTCAAATGTTCCCATTTCATAGGAAAGATTCTTCAAGTAGAATTGCCAAAAATGGAATTGTTATGGAGAAAGATCTGCAGGATTATTTTAGAAAAAAAAAACCTCAAACATAGCTTCTTAAAAGCTGGTTATTTATTACCGATCTTTCTTATTTGCACTGAAAAACTTTGCCAGGATACAGAGCAAATATACCTCTACGATCTGGCTGTGACCAGAGATTTTATTCCCTATCCACTAAAGTGTCTGTATCTCAATCACGTAACAAGAAGCCTTTTAAGTAGAAGAGATGATCACATGCAGAGGGTCATACTGCTCACCCTATTTTGGGTTGGGAGGGAAATTTCCCTCTGGGTTTTGGTTAATGTGTTTTCACCTCCTCCTGCCTCATGGGCATGAAAAAAAATTGAAAGTCCATTGAAAATTCTGCACTTAAATTATTTCCTTCCCCTTGCACGAGGCTTGGGCAGTAATGACACATTGGTCTTTTTTCTTGTCTGCAGCTGGCAGATGGTTCACTTTCTTCAGGACTCAGATGCTTTGCTCCATTTAAGGCCCTTTGGCTCAGAATAAGACTGCTCGCGTGAATTGCAATGGTCTCTGTTACACACAAGAAAACACTAAGCAGAACCAATCCTGCAGAAATATGGCCTACATGGATTTACCTTCATCCCTAAAGGACTAACACACTCATGATCCCATAGACAAATTTCCAAGCTCAAGCAGGAAAGTGAAATAACTAGGGCTGGTGCTGCAAGCGTGTCTATAAAGTCATTCTCCAGCTTCCCAGATGTCACCTGTCTGTGCTCACTGCTGGGGGCTGGGCAGCTGGGCTGGGGCTCTGCCCAGTCTGTTCAGGTACAGAGCAGGTTCTGAGCTACACAAAGTATATCAAGATTGGTATTTCTGCACAGACATACACAGAAGTCTGAATGCTCAGAAAAAAAAAGCTGATAAAAATGAGATGCCTATGATTTAGGAGAGGGGGAGTAAGAGGATAAGAAGAGAAACAGCCAATTCCTGCAGTTAAGTGTATAAATCCCACCTTGACAGCTTATGGATTTCTGCTCAGCATACGTGGCCTTCTAGGGCGCTATAAAGAAAAGGCTGGGAATTGTCAGCAGGGATGAAAATGGCAAAGGTGGTGATGGCTACAAGAATCACACAGACAGGAGTTCACAGGAGTTCAAGAACAGCTGCATAACCATGATGATGAAGTAGCCTTTGGTAAGGCCAAAATTCCTTTTCTCTATAAGAAACATAAGGCATGAGATAGGTCTTATTGCAGTGCAGTACTAATGGACTGCTGCATGTAGGACCTCATGCAATTTTTATTCAGTCTCCTTTTAAAAATCCCTGACACTGGAGTATTTCCCCTTCCCCCAGGAGGCTGCATTATTCTGCCATCTGATTGCAAACGTAAAGGTAATGGCATTTAATAATTGCTCTGAGACTAAGACATTTCTCTCTCTGGCTTCAGGAATATTAACCCAAACTTAGCTGAATCAGCTTCCTGAAAAGGCACTAGTACCTATCAAAGAGTAGTCCTGCCCTTTCTTCTTTTCTACACCAGATTCTTAAAAACCCAATTTTTTTTAATGACAGGTCATGTAGCTCTGAATTTACAAGCACTTACTTTTAATGACCATACTCAGTGGGAGTAGATGTGCAGGAGGAAAAAAAAAAAGAGGGAATATTATATTGCTGCTTCTGTCCCTAAGGCTTGCTATTTTATGGAGGATATTTTATGAATACCTATTGTGCTAAAAGCTCATATGACTGTCATCTCTCTGCTTGACTTCTAAATTAACTAAGCCCTTTTCTTTGAAGATTAAAACTGATTCCTTAAATAGAATGATAAAGTGTTTGTCAAAGCCATGACAAGCTGACTGCTATATCATACTGCTTCAAATCAAGAACTGTTAGAAATAATAATTCTAACTTTGAGAACATTAGCAGCAATTATTAACATACTGTAAATATGCAAAGAAAAATGGAATAGACTTGATATCCTTTTAAGTTTTCATTTAGCTCAAAAAATAAGACAGTAGAGGGTTTGATGAGCTCTATAATTTTCTTAATGGCAATGTGGCTGGGAAGCCTGGATTCCACCTTAAAATTTTGCTGACAACTCCAGCAAAGACCCAAAGAGCAAAAATGACAGAGAAACTCATTTTATTTGCCACTTTTTCATCTCTAGAAGAAAGTTAAAATGAGACTTACATGATGTTAAAGCAGAAATTGAAAGAACTTTACACTTAGGGACAAAATGAGCTTTGTAAAAGGTCAGGCCAACTTGCAAAGCAAAGGTGCTTCACAGATACAGCGACCGTGGAAAGCAGGAGAGTGACAGACTGACAGGGGATGTGGGTAAAAACAAACCAGGTTTGGCCCCACTGCAAAACTGATTATTCACATCTGTTTTCAGCAGCGTTATACATTCTGCCTTTGTCCCTGTGGTCAACAAGACAAGGCTACAAAGATAGATGCTGTCAGGTGTAAAAGCAGAAACAAAACTAAAGAACTTCAAAGCACTCAAGTCAGAAATAAGACAATTTCTATACC